TGCATAAGTAACTTATACAAATAGCTTCAGTATGCAAAAAGTGAGCATCAAGCTGTCTCTTGGATGTCTCTAAAAGAGAACATTTGTGAGTGAACATCCACTATATGAATTAAATCTCCTTTCCTTGCAATGTGTTTCAAACCCTGTTTTCACATTTAATAAAAATATTACCTAAATTCAAGAGTCTTCTTGTAACTTCTACTTTCTACCCAGTATTACTGACATTTCAATATTGTAATTATGAACATGCTTTATTTAAAATAACAAGGCCAACAGCTGGCATCAGTGCAGATAACTCCCAAATCTGTAGTTTTAATGTTTTGGTCATCTAGTTTTTTCTAATATCTCCTGAATAAAATTTGACACAGTACTGTGTTTTATTTAATGTAGATTGACCACCACGGGTGTTTAGACTGGCTGCAAGCACTAGGCTTTCCTTAAATCTTTTAGCTCTCCAAATACCACAGAAGTTCAGATTTTCAATAGTGAATTGAGAATTAAACCACAACTAACATGACTTTTTATATTTGATGACACTGAAATCCCCTGGAGAATGAATATATAAATATAATAAATGCAACACAGGAATTAGCTATTTATATTAGAAGAGAAAAGGCTATGTGAAATCTCTGAAGCACATTTTAATTTTTAGACATCCTATAAATGTCCAACTATCACATAAAAAGTAGGAAACTGTTAAGGCCTATTTTTCAGTGCTTCCTGAAAAGTTGTGACTGCAGGAAACAAAAAGAACTCTAACAATCTGTCTTCATGGAGATGTTGGGCTTGATTTCAGAAAATATTGAAAATAAAGTTTCATATTCAGGCTGTGTCATGATCTTGTAAAAGAAAGACCGACTGGGGGAAAAGAGAAAATGAAGCTTAAGAAAACCTCAACCCATTTGTGCTCTTGCATTATGCAAGAAAAAAAATACATTAAAATAATAGTACAATTTCAAACATGCGTTTTAACATGTCAAAAAAGAATAGTAGATTGAAAGTCAGCCCCTTTGGGCATATGCATTATGATACAATCCATGATTGCACTATTTTTTCTATGATTCTTGCCTCATTCAGTACACAGGATGGATGGTGGTCACTGAAAAAGCAACTATTCAAAGTCTTGTTTTATCCCTGTTCAGTGTGCGGCCTGATGACTTTACTGCCAACTATTTAAACTTTGCGCTGAAAAAATTAGTATCAAAGCCTTTCCTATGCTATCTATTACTACAAAACCAGTGTGCTTCACAATATTCCACTTGTTGGGCTGGTATTATTCCCATTTTTCAGATGGATGACTGAGATACAGAGACAGTAAGGCTGAAGTATCCCCTAATTTTGGGTGCCCAATCTGACCTACATAGGACCAGATTTTTTCAGAGAATTCAGCACTTTAAAGCACTTCATATGTTCCAATCATAGCCCCTATTGGCTTCAGTTACAGCTGAGACTCACCAAACACTTCTGTAAATCAGAGCTTGGAGTCTCACATCAGGCACCCAGGCTATTAAGAACACTTAATTAGTAGAAGCAAAATGCAGGACAATGTAGCACTTTAAAGACTAACAAGATGGTTTATTAGATGATGAGCTTTCGTGGGCCAGACCCGCTTCCACTATTTGATCTGAGGAAGTGGGTCTGGCCCACAAAAGCTCATCATCTAATAAACCATCTTGTTAGTCTTTAAAGTGCTACATTGTCCTGCATTTTGCTTCAACTACCCCAGACTAACATGGCTACATTTCTATCACTTAATTAGTAAGTAGCTGACCACCTGTGAAAGTAGTTTAAGTGACTTGCCCAATATCTCATTGTGGCAAAGGCCATGGAAAGAATCTAATTCTCCAAGGCAGCCTCACTACACTATAGGGAGGCCATTAAGCTAGCTTCAAAGGGAGCAGGTCACAAAATCCCACAGGCTATCATAAAAAGGTGACTTTGACAGAGGGCTGGAAGTTGGGGAGAAATGGAAAATTACAACAGGGTCACACAGGAGCAAGAAGAGGGAAACTAGCATGCATGCGTATGTGTGGATCTGCTCAATATCACAGATAGCTATACACAAACACAAGTACTATGGGGTATAAATAGGACAAACGAAAGGTCGCATACATACTAAAGTATCAATTAATTGGCATCGGAGACTTGCAGTGATAAATCTCATGGCTATTTGTATACAGGGATCTAGACTGTCCAGGAATTCCATTCAGGGGAAGTGCTGCACGATACATCAAGGATGCATTTCTAGAACCAATAGCAGAAGTATACAAAACAGTAACTGGAGATGGCTACCCAGACATCTGTTGGAAAAGTAAACATGGCAAAATGTGAACTGTTCAATAAGTTCTTAGAATGTACTAGAAAAAAATTCTTGTTTCTGAAGGTGGAGGAAGCACTCAGAGGGTCAATTTAGACTTGATTCTGACTAACAGAGAGGAATTGGTTGCCAGTCTGAGGTTGGAACGCAACCTGGGTGAAAGTAATCATGAAATGACAGATTTTATTATTTTACAGAAAAGGCAAGGAGTGAGAGCAGCAGAATAGGGACAAAGGACTTCTCAAGTAGACTTTAGTAAATTCAGAATTGATAGGTAAGTTCCTATGAGAAGAAAACAAAAGGGGGAAAAAAGTTGAGGAGAATTGGCAGTTTTTCCAAAAAGAGACAATATTAAAGCCCAACAATGAACTATCCCAACATAAAGAAAAGAGAGGAAAAACTGTAGAGGTAACATGGCTCCATCAGGAGCTCTTTAGTGACCTGAGAACAAGAAAGGAATCCTATCAAATGTGGAAACACGGACAAATTGCTAAGGAGTGATACACAAGAATAGCAGAAAGCAGTAAGGCCAAAACCAGAAAGGTTAAGGAAAAAAAATGAGTCACACCAGTAAGGGATATAAAAGGCAGAGTTAAATGAAAGTCTCCTATTTATTGGGAAGAGAGAACTAATAATGAACAAAAAGGCTAAGATGTGAAATACCTATTTTTCTCAGTCTTCCCTAAACCTGTGTGACTAGATACATAACACAATTAATATTAACAGAAAGTGGGAGGGAGTACAAGTCAGAATAAGGAAAGAACAGGTTAAAGAGCACCGAGTTAAGTTAGATGAATTCACATCAGCTGGGCCTAAGGAAATCCATCCTAGAGCATGTAAGCAACTAGCTAAAGCCAACTTCAAATTATTAACTATCATCTTTGAGAAGAGGTGAGACCCTACAGGATGATGGCAAATATTGCACCTATATTTAAAAAGGGGAAGAAAGAGGACCCAGGGAGAAATAAACCTAACTTCTTATACCTGGAAAGACAGTTTAACAAAGTATTAAATAATCAGTTTGTAAGCACCTAGACTATAATAGCATAATAAGAATTAGCAAGCATAGGCATGTCAATAACAGATAATGCCAAACCAACTTATTTTTTTTCTTTTACAGGATTCCCCATCTATTGGGTAGTGGGTAAACAGCAGATGTGATATAACTTGATTGTAGCAAGGCTTTTGACAGTCCCGCATAACAGTCACAGAAGAAAACTAGGGAAAATGCTACAAGTGGGTGCAAAACTAGTTGAAAGATTGTACTCAAAGAAAAGTTATCAATGGTTTGCTGAGGTCCCATATGGTGGGTCCCACAGAAGTCAGTACTGAATCTGGTACTATTTGATATTTCATTAATGACCTGCATAATGGAATGAGGAGTATGCTAATCAAATTTGTATATGGCACCAAGCTAAGAGAAGTTGCAAGCACTTTAGAGAGAGAATTATAATTCAAAATTACCTTGATAAATTGGAAAATTGATCTGAAATAATCAAGATTGAATGTGTCTTAATTGAATTTCAAGTACTACACTTCAGGAAAAACCAATTGCAAAGCTTCAAAATGGGGAATATGTATTGGCACAGACTATTATCCTGAGTAATCTCATTTATCAAACAAAAATGTAGCTTTCTGATTCAAGAGATTCCATCCCTCATGAATCTCGTTATAACAAGTTCAATACTCCCCATACCATATACTGTACTGGAATTCTCCTTTTGTCCAATCCAGTCTGCCCTTGCCAATAAGAATTCTCTTGTTTCAAAGGTTCAACTTCATCAACAGTGACACGTTATTATGGTTTCACATTCCCAGTTAAAGAAAGAAATGCCCAGTGAAACAAAAAATATGTATCAATTTATCATCCAAATGGTTGCTAGACTCTCTTATCCAGAATTCCACAGGACAAAAAGACCTGATCAACCTATAGAGACAAAAACTTCTCTCATACATCATCCTTCAAACACAAAAATCCTGCTGCACATACTGCACATCCAAGTATGCAACACCAAGAACTTTCCTGTTACAGCTAACCATATTGCTGCACAAGTGGGTGGGTGGGTGAGGGGGAGGGGACACAGAAGGAGAAGAGAAGACTGGAAAATAGATGAAGTCAGAAAAATTAAAGTGCTTTCCAACAGCACAGTACACCATTTCAATCAATTTTTTCCTGCAATTGATTTCTCACCAGGTCTACTGCTTAGAATACAGTATTATCAATGTAGAAGCTCTCTAGATATCTATCACATCTGTGATGAAGCATTTAGACCCATAACTTATATTTCACTGTGTATTCTAAATCCAGAGACTCAAAAAGCTTCTTTTAAATGAGCAAACAGCCTTTTCCAATACACTTATTTGCTTCTGAGCACAAACTTTGTGTATCATCCTAATTTGGGGATGAAATCAATTACCACCAATCAAGAAGTAAACAGTTATTATTCATTCCCAGAATGATATTACGCATAAAATCATCCTGGGGGGAGCGATTAAACTTATCCAAGAATACACAAAATAAAGGTTATTACTCTCTTTTCTAGAGTGAAATATCACATTCACATTACAAACAAACAAACAAACAAACAAACAAACAAACAAACAAACAAACAAACAAACCCTAAAAGAAAGGAAGTGTTGCAATGAGGCCTACAATTGGAACATAAAACACATTCTCACTTACCTTTGTGGTTAAATATACCCTCCATCTCCATGCTGCTTCTAGAGTGGGCAATGCAAAGTGACCCACAGGGAACAAGCCCTTCTGCAGCAGGGGATCGATCTGTAGTTCGTACCAGACACCAATCAGGCTTGTCATGTGGCCTCTCTAGAACCTCCACTGTCTGACCACGGCGGATTGTCAGCTCATTGCTGTTGCATGCTGTGAAGTCATGGATGACCACAGTTAATTCGCAGCCACCTGACAACTGTGGAAAGAGAGCAAATAAAGAATGTATGGCTGATGCACTGCAGTTGTTTTTAAACAAGGATGACTGCTTATTTAGGATTTCAGGCAAGATAAAACCCTTCTCTCTCCTTCACCTCCGATTCACTGTCTGGAAAGATTCCAAGATCTGTGAATGATATTGTGAAGCCGCTAGGCTTGCCTTTGGAAGTAGCTTCCTTCCTAGGTATCTTGAGAAAACTTGAGACAAAAAAAGACGACGCATCACTCTACACAAGGCAGAAAGGAAACCCCCTCTCTTCTTCCATTGAAACCATGCTCAGGTGGAGCCCTGCAAGTATTAGTGCAATAACTGCACAAACACTCACAACTAAAGGTGTCTTAGCCATCACAAATAGTGATAGAAATGTAGTCGTGTTAGTCTGGTGTAGCTGAAACAAAATACAGGACTATGTAGCACTTTAGAGACTACCAAGATGGTTTATTAGGTGATGAGCTTTCGTTGGCAAGACCCACTTCCTCAGATCAAATAGAGGAAGAAAATAGTCATAACCATATATACCAAAGGATACAATTTAAAAAAATGAACACATATGAAAAGGACAAATCACATTTCAGAACAGAAGGGGAAAGCGGGGGTGGGGGGGAGAAGAGGTAAATGTCTGTGAGCTAATGGTATTAGAGGTGATAATTGGGGAAGCTATCTTTGTAATGGGTAAGATAGCTAGAGTCTTTGTTGAGCCCTCCGCGTAGAGTGTCGAATTTTAGCATGAATGACAGTTCAGAGAATTCTCTTTTAAATCTGCACAATAAGTCTTTTGTGCATTAGTGCCCCGGGGCTTAGTACAGAGACAGATTAAAGCCAGGAAGGGATTTTATCTTCCCACTGCAACAGAGTGTTTTAGGGGGCTGAAGGCTTTCCTGGCTCATCTCAGACTAGGTATGCAGTTGGGTAACAGTTAACCAGATCCCCGGGAAGCAGTCTGCCAAGGGCGGAAAGCTGGGAGCCAGCAGAGCCAGCACCAGCTCCTGCCCCAGTGCAGATGCCAGGAGCTGGCAGAGTCAGCCGCAGTGTGGAGGCTGGGAGCCTGGTGGCTCTCTACTTCCCTCCAAGTTCTCCAGTAATTAAACACTTCATATGCAGTCTCTGAATATATGGGTCACATTTTTAAGCACAGGGATCATTACACACTGGTTCTTGAGAGAATCAACTATTGTAGAATCCTTTTGTGATACAGATCCCAAAATAGCTGTTTTTCAAGATTTTTAACTCTCTCCTTCCTAACTCCACCCAACAACCAAAAAAAGATTTCAGATTCATAGAGATCTACATGAACTGGGCTGGCAAAACCCAGCATGCCTCACTGGTTTCCCCCCGCCCCTTCCAAGCACTTCATGAAAATTACTTTAATCCAGATTAACTATGCAGGCCTACTCAACACACAGCCTGCAAGCCACATGCAGCCCACAGCCTGTTTGTTTGCGGCCCACTGTGTGATTTGGGTTTACGCGACGCTCAGCATGTGACCCGCAGGTGGGAGCCAAAACAAAAAAGTAGTCAATATAATGGTCTTCTGTTGAAAAGCCTTTCAGTAATTAAATCCCTGGACTGTCATTGCTCATTAAAGCGCTGTCATATGGGTGGAAATTGTAATTATTGCATTTTATTAATATCAGCAGAACTGACTTACATAGGGCCTGCATGTTGTGTAATCTTGCCTTAATCTTTGTATTCATGCTGTCAATGTGAAAGAAGCTATTTGCATATCTGCATATATTTTTGCACGTATATGCAACCACAGTTAAGTTGCGGCCCTCAGCCTGCACTGTGAGTATCATTATGTCCAGGGGCGCCCCCCCCCCCCCCCCAGCCGCTCTGTCCAGCAATCTGCGCATGCATAGATTATTCTGCGCATGCGCAGATCGCCCGAACGCGGCTTTTCCGGGTTGCAATCTATTCGCCACGGGCGAGTAGACTGCATTATTTGTTGAGCCATGATTATGGTCCATGGGGCTTCCAAAGTTGATTAGCCCTGCTTTACTGCATCACCCTGTTTAATATAAACTAAAAGCACTTAAACATATTTAAGTTCCTTAGTTGCACCACAACTTCCTTATGTACCTTTAAGTTGATTTTAATTTCTAATAGTAATCCTACAGCACTAATATTCTAGTTGTACTTTTTTTTTTCTCCTGGTATATGAGTACCACTATTATAACACCATCTACTAGAACAGAACAGATTTAATTTTCATTTGATGTTATGCAACTTCCATTAGTAGAAAACATCAGACATTTCAGACACGGATCCCCTATTACATGGTGCCAACTGTGCAATACCATGGGGGAATGGTTCTTCCAGTTTATACTCAGATTAATAAAGACAGATATTCCCTTATAATTCTTATTTTAGAAAATGTAACCGCAGAGGTTATTACACAAACATTTAACAACCTTGAAACATGCTTGCCTAATTTTGCTACAATTAAAATTTCTTTTCTACCCTGATATCAGTAAGTCCCTGTGCTCTTTAGAACCATACCTAAATACACATCTGGATTGTTACTTATAAAGCTGTTTTAATAAAATTTCTTGGGCTCAAAGGCAAGATAGAACTTTTCTTCTCCAGGATAATGCTCTGTCACCAAACAGGAATTTGAAAAGTGTTTACCAAGCAACTCATGACACCAGAGACATAGGCTAATTCCCTCCTTCCTTCCCCATCTCTGACACATCCACAGGACATAACCTGTGAGTGTCAGTCTGTAGAACTGCAAAGTTTTCTCATGACCACTGCCTGCCAATCTTGTTAACTAATCCTGGATGCGTGTGTGGAAAAAAAAGCCTTATGTTTTTCATAATTAAGGAAAATACATCAGCCTGTACTACCCCCCACCGGATTTTGGCTGGAAATTAATCACACGGCTTCTATTTCATCTTTTAAGACAGTCCCAGGTCTCAAGATAAGGTGCATAGCTTCAGAACAGGCTACCTTCTCACTCACTAAAAATATCTTCCTCCCCTCCCCTCTCTTCCTTTACATTATATTAGCTTTTAGTCCACACGAAGTTATGCCAAAGGGGAAAAAGTCAAGAGCCTTTCCTTGGTTTCTGGCACTGATTTATGTTATAGACCTCTACAAACTAAGTCTGAAACAATTGAAAACATGTGTATGCCTGAAGGGGTCTGAGAAAAAGTCCACAGAGTCTGACTTCATAAGGTGTCAAATGCAAGGCTCAAAACTTTTTCTCATGAAAAGCACATTCTCTCTTCCCAACTATCCCAAGCATAGGTCAGTGGCTTTTGGGAACCATGCATCTTGTCAAGACAACCGATCCAAATATCTACAGCTTTGTGCTTCAACACAGATGTTCCTTCTTTCCCCTCACTTACTTAAAAGGACATTCGAAAACAAAAAGTTATCTAAATATTTTAACTTATGAGAGTGTTAGGACAGTGGAGTAAAACAAAGATAATATGGACCAACTATGTGGGCACTAACAAACATTAGCGTTGGTTAGCTTTCCTCAGTCAGTCAATCACACTCATGCCAACAACACAGCCTTTGCATTAGACTCTAAGACTATGGTTATGCTGCAATAAAACACCTGCGGCTTGCATCTGCTGGCTCATGGGGCTTGAACTACGGGGATATCAAATTTCAGGGTAGACACTCCCCCCACCCCCAATCCCAGAGCTGAGGCTCTAGATGAAGTCAGAAAACCTACACTGCAATTTTATAGCTCTGCAGCCTGAGCCCCACAAGCCTGAGTCAACTGACATAGGCCAGCTGCAGACGTTTCATTGCAGTCAAGATATACCATTAGGTTACAACCTGCCAATGCTGACACCATATTCTCAGCTCTGCACAACATTTGCAGATGAAAGCCAGAGTGGTGTCTTTTCCACGGTGGTCAATAACAGCAGTACCCATCTCATCTGGAAACACAAGTCATCAGCATAGAAAAAACGGTTACTTACTTTCATAACTGTGGTCTTCAAGATGTATTGCTCACGTCCATTCCACATCGGTGTGTGTGCACAGCGCACACGCGTCGTTGGAAGATTTTCCCTTAGCAGTACCCATCGGGACAGCAGGGGAGCCCCCTGAAGTGGCACCGATATATCAGCTAATACATATCCCTGCTGGCCCTCCCCCCACTCTGTTCCTTCTTACCGGACTACTCTGAAGAAGGGGAGGCGGGTGAGATTTGGAATGGACATGAGCAACACATCTCGAAGAACAACAGTTACAAAGGTAAATAACCATTTTTTCTTCTTTGAGTGATTGTTCATGTCCATTCCATAGAGATGATTCCAAAGCAGAAACCCTAGGAAGTAGGGTCGGAGTTCAAACCTTCAACTAAGGAAAGGACAGCCCTACCCAGGGCTGCATCCTCCCTAGCTTGATGAGCCAGAGTGTAATGAATGGCAAAGGTGTAGATAGAAGACCACATGGCCACTCTACAAATGTCCAGGATAGGGACCTGAGCTACGAAGGCTGTAGAAGAGGCCTGAGCTGTAGTGCAGTGGGGCTGTCAAGGGAGGTGGTGGCATCCCAGCCAACTCGTAGCACTCCTTAATACAGGAAGTGATCTACAAAGAGATCCTCTGTGCAGAAACTGGCTGTTACAAACAACTGAGGGGACTTGTGGAAGAACCTTGTACTGTCTAAATAAAACACTAAAGCTCTCCTGACATCTAGTGTGTGTAAAGCCTGTTTTTTGCCTGAAACACGGGGCTTAGGGTAAAACACTGGGAAGAAAATGTCCTGGGAGGCATGGGAATGAGACACCATCATTGGTGGGAACGCTGAGTGAGGGCATAACCTGACCTTATCCTTGAAGAACACTGTATAGGGAGGGTCCAACATTACGGCCCTCAACTCAGACACCCAACTAGCTGATGTGATAGCTACTAGGAAAGACACCTTCCACGACAGGCTCAGTAACAAACATGGTGCTAGGATCTTGAAGGGGGTCTCCATTAGTTTGGTCAGGACTAGATTGAGGTCCCACTGAG